CAACTTTCAAAATGGTGACACGGCTTTCAAACTCTTCTGCACGGCTTTAAATCTCATGCACACGACTTTCAAAAATGGTTCAGAATAAGAATTTTGAAAGTCGTTTGCACGAGTTTGAAAGTCGTGACCACCAGTTTTTGAAAGTCGTGCGCACCCGTTTTTTGAAAGTAATGTGCACCAGTTTTAAGATATCGTGCACACAAGTTTGAAAGTTATGCGCACGAGTTTCAAACTGGTGCACACCAGATTAAATCTCCGGGAAACGAAAATATTTATATTTACATGGCACTTAAGGGGCTCCGTAAAAATAAGACTGGTGTGCTACCTTGAATGAAAATTCAGTGTCATGATTAAGTAAAATGACGTTATGGTTTAGTTTACGTGCGTCATGGTTTAGTGGTTTGATTGTTATCGTTTATTTATACAGAAAATGAGATACAACTATACCTACTTTTATATTAGTCTTAGTGTTATGGAATATATAAAGCCATGAAAAGGACAATATTTTCATGTGATTTCCGAAAGCGTGAGGTTACATAGGTGCCACTATAACGTTAATATCCACGGTTAAAATGTGACCTTTTCAGACAATGCCTCTGTCGATTGACGCTGACTGGTGTTGCATAATTATTTATCATAATTTATCATAATTATCAGACGTTAATTTCCCCTGTACCAAATCATGACAATATCACTGCATCAAACATTCCTCGTTACGACATTATTGTGATATAATTTCCGGGTGATGGGGGTGGGGTGGTGTTGTTATGAACATTCTAGCCTGACGAGAATACAAAACAAAAAATCTTGCCCAAACATGAATATTCTACCCCTCAAATTGCAAGAAATAAATGTGTACAAACTTTCTTAATAAGCTCGTCTAGCATCAAGTGAAAATGAATATTATGTCCGCGAAAAACCCCTTGGCCTCCTTAAACAATCGACTTCAAGTTCCATTTTTGTTAACCCCTATAATATAACCCAGCTTCGTACTTTTACGGAGCATTGTTCCCAAAACATACATTTATTGGACAAATATAATTAATTATCATGATTAATTCAAACTATCATGTATTAATATTATAAACTATAATTTTGACGTAGCACTTGTATCTGGTTTGTCGAAATCGACATTAAATGTTTGGAGATCGATCATAATTGTATTTTTGAACACCGAACGGACAATACCGTCAAAATAATTAAATTAAATGAAAGGTTGTCTTTTATAAGGATGTGACGCATGTACCAACACTTTCCTTGTACTTTACATGTTAAAAAATGTAATGCTATTTGAAATCAATTTTGAGATAGATATATTACGCAATACTTTTGTTGCGAATTATGAATTGTACACATACTTTGGGAAGATTAAAGGCATAATTGTCGAAATAAAGAAAGAATAATTACAGATGTTGTTTGGAAATTCATTTTATTGTAAATATTGAATTATATATATATTTGCAATTTTTTGTTGATAATTAACTTTTGGGAGACATTATCTAAAGTGGAAGCATACAATCACGTCACAGATGAAAAATTAGAACATGTTTCCAATTAGAGGCCCAAATAGTTTATATCGTCAAGCTGATCTCAATGCTTTAAGCGACTATTTTTTTTTTATATCGACGATGTCAAAATGAAAAATTGTACTGCTATTAAGAGAAACCTCGAGAATGCAAAAAAAAAAATAATAATAAAACCACACAATCAACCCCCACGTCCCCCGCAAAAATAAAAAAAAAAAAAAAAAAAACAAAAAACAAATGCCCCAAATGCAATTACAACTCCAAGTCAAAGCGTTTCTGTTAAAGTCAAGCAACTCTGGTACCCCGGGAGGGTCAGCAATGCCTAATCCACTAGCCCCTGTCGTCGTATCGCTTATGTTTTTCATGCCACAACACACTAACAAATGTCTCTTGTCTGAACCAAGTAAGAATTTATCAAAATAATAAACAATCAGCTCATGTGAATTATCTAAACTAACGACGGTTATGCAGATAAGAAAATTTCTTTTTTTTGTATTTTTTATCATAACATACTAACATGTCGGTAACTTGAAGATAAGTGTAAGCGTACAAGATGTGATTTTTTTCTAATTATCAACAGCTTTTCGATTTTGTTTTTTGCAAAAAGTTTTGATCTATCTCATAAATATAGTTACCCACTACAACATTTCTGTTGTGTCCAATAACTAAAAGTTTCGCCCATGTTTTTAGAAATTCTCATTTTTTAAATTTCAAATACCATGTATAAGTGATTAGTATTATCACCTTAAAATAATCCAATTTCATTTATGTTTCATAAGAATACGTTTTTTTAATTGGATGACAGCAATCGCGAGGCGTTCCAAAATCAAAGTTTATTTATCAATAAAATGCAAGTGCTTCCCATTACAACGTCACGACATTGCACGAGAAACAAATCAAAAGCTTATTATAGCTCACAATTTCGTGGTTGTATCATATCAATTATAATTATAACATTTCATAGGGCTGTCAAAGTGTTTATCGTGTTCACATTTTGTAGGTAGCGCTTAGGTCAACGCTTTTACACCCCAATAAATTTACAAAAAGAAGCATTCAATTCTTAAATGAAAAAAAAATCCGGTGAAAACTTAAGACTTAAAAAAATACTTCCCATGGTATTGGACACTATTTATAGGTGTCATTCAAATTTTTTTTAAATCGGTATCAATTGCTTATTGTACAGCATTATGATTAAGATATATAATTACAGACAGATCAAATCTCTAAATGCCAAACTGTTGTCCGTGTCATAATTTGGTTGTGTTGGACACACATGCCAATTGTTTTCAAAAATGCAAATATGTTTCAAATGAAATGCAAATAATTATTATAAAATGTTTATCGAACCATTATTTTATATAAGCCCTTGACTACATTAAACAGTACAAGAATTAAATCTATCTGGGCATTTGAATATAATCGGTAACATTACCTATAATGTAAACATAATCAATTTAATGAGTGAAAAACACCACCCGGCGGTGAAAGTGTTTAGTATGCTAGAAAACAATCGCATGTAATTACAATAATTGATAGTTTCGTATTCAGCGAAAATGAGAAAATCAATGCTCAATTACATCTCTATGAAACAATATTATGCCATGTTGAATATTCAATCTTTAGTGTTCCTGAAAGGTTAACTGTTAATAATCTGAAGTTTGCAAAAAATCTTAATAAGTTTTTCTTTGTTTTGCTCCCATTAATTCTTAACAATTCGAAACCCGTTAGTAATCTGAAATTTAAAAAAAAATATCTTAACAAGTTTTCTTTGTTTTCCTCACATAAATCTCAACAATTCGAAACCTGTCGAGCTTTCTGCTCTATTCTGAAGTGTTCTCAGCAGCCAACTGTGTTGATGAATGATTTATAGCTCATAAAAAATGGATAACAGTTTATGATATGTTTCATGGCTTTAAAGTCAGACATTGTAACCAGAGTCGCAATTCAATCAAACTCGATGTCAGTTTTTACAAAGAACCATTCATAGGTCGTTACCAAGATGTTTTGTATTTGAAGACCAAAATTTTTGAGAAAATATTATAGACCATTGCCACCAAGTTAACAGTGTCCGTTGACCATATAAATATAAATATCGAAATATATTACATTGATGACTTTGACAACTGGAGAAAGTTTAACATACCGCAAGAAAATCGTAATATGCTAATTTTTCTGAGCACCTGAAGTCAATCCCGGATTTTATTGGTATTCGTTTTATCAATCCTTCATTTTCATCTCATTTGTTATCATTGTTTCACTGTATAATACTAGTTGTCACTTTTTAAACGTTAATTTGGTGATCTTTTAGTCAATTTGTCTTAATGCATATATTTATAGTATTTAAAACCTAGAACATACACAGAACACATCAAACGAAGCTAAGATAGCAGAAATATCGGCAAAGTTATCATCATTATTCATATTTTATGCAGTATTATGAATAGGAAATGTTTTCTTGATTCTTTTCATTGCTCTTTTGTCTGTTTCTGTATCCTATGATGTATCATTATGAAAATTTCAGTAATAGCTTAATAAAAATGAAGATATGTGGTATGATTGTCAATGAGACAACTATCCACCAGAGACCAAATGACGTAGATGTAAGGATTTATTCCAGTTTTCTTTTGTCGTCCAGCTTAAAGGGTTGTTTCGTTCTAGACGCATGTCTTTGCAGAACACGTTTTTATGTAGCACTTGACTGTTCGTTCTAAACGAATATCTTTGCAGAAGACAATTTTATGTATCGCCTGAACTGTTGTCATGTGCGTGTTTTGATAGTATAGTTCGTGTCATTAGTAAAACATGAGAAAACATATTTCTCAAATAAAAAAGAGGAGTACTGAAAAACAAAGCCAAATATCTTAAAGCCCAAACATGAGACTTTTTTTTTTTAATAACGTCTGTTTTTTCTTTAAATCTTACGTTCGTACCTATCGTTAGTGTTTTTGTCCTCTGCTTTTTTTTTCTTTTTATCTAATTCACAAATTGAAGGTTTATAGCTATTTTCTTGAAATAACCACAAGTTATATGTATACGCACACGTTTGTTTTGTCAGAACCCCGATACAAACCACTGAAGCTCGTGATTTTAAACATGTTTTTTTTAACAAATCTTAGCTAAGATATTTTTAAGTTTAGATGTTTGATATTGATCAATTTTCGAATTGTATCTTTATTGAAAGGCTGAAATTATCAGGGGAGGGGGCTAATTAAAAACTGATCATTTTGGTAGTGGTGATCAGAAAAAAATTATCTTCAAAATTTGATGTAAGCAATTTTCAGAAACTATGAATACTAATTTATAGCAACATTCCTTAATGTATTAAAATCCTTGAAAATTGATAACGTCCATGGTAATGCTATAGTGTCACAACTTAGCTTAACTATGTACATAGTCACGTCCAATAATATTACAGCTCTAAAATATCTATGATTTTTTGGTGATATACATATATATATATAGAGAGAGAGTTTATTTGAAAATAATGTCTCTGTTCGAAGATAGAGATGACACTTTCTGGTTTTGTTATCGACTTTTTACAGGTGTATCTCATTAATTGTGTGATGTCGTCTGCTACGCACTGATTTCAAGACTATTTAGCGGGAATAGTTCTGAATAACAGGTAGGTAAATTTACTTTACCACATTTTCGATTATTCAGTGATATATATTAAAATATATAAGTCAATACTTTATTTTTTAATTTGAAGTACTGGACAACAAAAACATAGCAAGACATGTACAAACTATTTTGTTTCATTGAACATTATTTGTTTTTAATATACTATCTTTTCACAATTAGATTATAATCCTAAGATAAACAATAACCAGGTATAATATGTGCCTAACAAGAGTCAATTGGTGTTTTGCATAAAAAAAAAAATATGAACGCAACCATTGATGTAGTTTAATAAAACAATAAGACTGTTTAAATGCAATTTGGATAATTAAAAAAAAAATCAGACAACATGGATATTGGACGCTTATTATTATTGTTGTCTGTATGTTTACTTCCCGGGCACTTTTCACTCTCCATTGGTCAGTTTCCCTTCCTGAGATCACCCCCCCCCCCCCGGATTTTGGTGAGTTCGTGTTGCTCAGTCTTTAGTTTTCTATGTTGTGTTTTGTATGCTGTTGTTTGTCTTTTGGTCTTTTTCTTTTTTTGCCATGGTGTTGTCAGTTTATTTTCGAGTTTGAATGTCCTTTTGGTATTTTTCTCGCATCTCTTTTCCTGCTTTTTTTACTCTTACATCATTCATGAAGCTGATATTCAGCATATATGCTGTATCATGCAGACTATTCAATATATATTAGAACAAATGAAAGTAAACGTTATTACATGCTTACTTATAGCGGGCAATATGAATTATTAATTTATTACTACGTCAAATAGATATTTTCCTTAATTTACCTGATATCATATTGCTAAATTTTAAAATTATTGCATCCACTTTGTTCTTAAGAAAACAAGCGATTGATTTATTCTTTGAAGTTCATTTATAAGCTGATAATGCATGCTTCTTAAGCGTAATGACAAACAACTTTATTTAAAATTCATACAAGTTTCTTCTAAATAAACTCACCATATATATCGGGATTAAAATTTCGTACGCCAGACGCGCGTTTCGTGTACAAAAGACTCATCAATAACGCTCGAATAAAAAATGTTAAAAACGACAAAAGAAAGTACGAAGTTGAAGAGAGGTTGAAACTGAATTTTCATAAAAGTATGCATTTGTTATTTTTAGAATACTTTTTCTTATCATTTTCTTCATTCAATTTCATTGTCACTTTTAAGTGTTCGCTCTATCATTGTAAGAAAACTTGTCTTAATCAAATTGTACGCCTTCAAGCTTTTATTATCATTATTGAACATTAAAGCAATAGACTATACTTAGAAATTAAGGATATATAACCAGGCGCACTGCAAATGTTACTGGAATAAGTTTCATGAAACATTTGAGAGCATTGAAACCGAAAGGGTCCAAACGAAATATCTAAATTTGTCAAAGGTCAACTTTGCATTAGCGCACGATCACATAGCATTTAGAACTTGAAATTCACATACTATAAGTATCATTCAAAGAACTCTGTTAAGGTCATGTTTTTCTCCGACTGTACTTGACATTTTCATAATAAATCTGTTGGGAGTGTACTGGTTGATGCTTACACTGATTTGTTAATTGGTTGTAAACTATTCGAGTACTCGTAGAGCAGTACTTCTTGTCGTTTGTTTTTATGTTTGTTTTTTATTTTTCTTGTTGCCAATCTGTTGATTTAAGCCATTTCAACCTGATTTTAACAATTTGTTCTTATATTGTGCTGTTTTACCACTGTCAGGAGAGGGTTGATGACTCACACATTTGTTGAACTCTGACACATATTTTATGTGCTCATCCCTAGTCAGGAACATGTAATTCAGTGGTTTTTATTGGTTGCTGTCTGTAATATTTTTCGTCAAAGAATTGTTTTGTCATAAATCATGCAGTTGGTATAACATTTTATTATATCGGATCCACCTAAATTTATATCTTACCATACGGTTTTGTTGAAGGCCGAACGGCGATCTATATTGTTTATATCGACGTCCTTTGGACTGCAGAATAGTTGTCTCAATTGCAATCATACCACACCTCCTTTTTTATATTTATCATAAACCCCTGACCACAAGGTGGATGACGACCTCGGGTACTGATAATCCATCAGCACCTAAAACATGTCTGATACGAAAGTCAGAAAGGACTATGCGATGCAGGGGCGGATCCAGCCATTTTTAAATTGGGGTTTCCAACCCAGGATAAAGGCGGGGGTTCCAACTATATGTCTCCATTCAAATGCATTGATCTTAAAAAAAGGGGGGTTCCACTCCTTTTATACAGAAAACCCATTTTAGGGAACTTCTTTAAATTTTGACAGGGGTTCCCCTGACCGTGACTAAACCACCAGGACTTGGGACACAGTCATAATGATATTGCTTGAAAATAAAATAAATGTTTATTTAAAGAGATTTTGTAATGTAATTCTAAACTGTTTATAATTTTTATGTGTTAAAAAGGCTGGCTTTAGAGCTACAGGACCTACTCCCACCTCCCCAATGGTTGAGCAGATCGGGACAACGTAAATCTGACAAAATGTATAAAGTGTTATTCTCAATTATGGAAAAGGGAAAATAATTGCGGAAGCATTAACTTCTCAATAAGGAACTTCATGGAACAAAAATGCGGAAAAGAACTGTATAATCTAGCGGAAACGTAAATTATTTTGGAGGAAACGTGATGTCAAATCTCGGAAACGTTAACTATTTTATTTGATTGGAAATTGTTTTTTTAATATGCTATTTTTTTTTGAAAGAGAAATATAATTAAAAAAATATAAGGACTCTCGATAGATCTGTGCCAAATCATAGTCAACAGTAAAATAACAAATATACCGAACTCCATGGAAAATTCAAAATGGAAAGTCCCTTATTAAGTAGCAAAATCAAAAGCTCTAACACATCAAACGAATGGAAAACAACTGTCATGTTTTGGACTTGGTACAGGCATTTCCTATTGTCAAAAATGGAGGATTAAGCCTGGTTTTATAGCTAGCTAAACCTCTCACTTGTATATAAGTCGCATAAAATTCCATTATATTGACAACAATGTGTGAGCAAATCAACCAAACATAATAGGTAAAAATGTCAAAAATTGGGATACGGCAGTCAACATTGTGTTATAATCTAAATCACTATAAAAACAAACTACAATGTCATTAAAGAAAAACAAAATGGCATGTAGGCACTTTATAGACAAAACACATAGGAAAAATTAAAGACAAGAATACAAAAACGACCATAGCACAATAACACAATGGCGGGATGTATAAATACCGAGACACGCCAAAAGGATATTACAAAAAATGAACTAAACAGTAAACAATTGTTATTCTGCAGTTTTAGAAAAATAACTATGATAGTTGGATGTTGTTTCAATAAAACAAAAGAACTATTTTCATGCATTTTAGCTAAATTATGAAAATGAGGCTACTTGAATATTGGACGCTTCTTATCATTGTGATCTATATACTTCCCATGCACGTTTTCACACTCCGTTTGTTGTTTTTTTACCCTTTTCTATCTCGCAAAACATTCATTAAGATGACATTGAACCAATATGCTGCATTATGTCAAGCATACTTAATATATTACAAAAAAATGAAGGGAAACATTAATACATGTTTAAATATTGAGGGCGATATGAACTCATGATTCTTTACTATGACAAATGGATATTGTCCTTTATTCGCCTGTTATTATATCGCTAAATGTTTAATAACCGATAGTTATTAGTATTGCATTCAATTTGTTTCTAAGAGAAAACAAATTACAATATACTTTCAATTTGATGATCAGTGGATTGTGCATGCTTATGAAACGTAACTGCAAACATCCTTAAGTAAAGTTCTTATAAGTGCATTTCAAATTTGAATTTGAATCTGAATTTTTATAAAAGTGTCCATTTGTCATCATTAGAATACGTCTTTTAGAATTATTTTTCATTTCAATTTCAATTCCACTTTTGATAGGTTGTAAATAAAAGATTATAAATTTCGTGCGTCCTACGCGCTTTTCTAGATTTGCCTTCCTCAGGATCGCACAAAGACAAACGTTTGGCATTTAGAAAAGCTGGCAACATTGAACAAAATGCTCGAACTCAGATACTTCTTCCCAGTTCTATCATTTATCTCATACTTTCCAAGCACTGTTAATACTCAATTTAAAGATAGGAAAATGCAGTATGATAACCAATGAGACAAGTTTCCACCAGAGACCAAATGACATAGACGTTAGCAACTATTGCCAGTTGAATTTGTTTTTTTAACCTTAATATTTATCTGATCACTATTCAGGAAATTGATAAATAGCAAAATATGAATTATGACAGAAAAATTAATATGACGCATAGAGGTACATACAAATACTAGTAAAAGAAAAAATAAATAAATAATAAAACATACTAAAATCTATGCTGATATCATATTCTAAGAACAATAAAAAAAAGAGTAAAAATAAATACTTCTGTATGATAAAGCATAGAACGAATTAAGACATTGGAAATTAAGCTTATGCTAATGTTGTAGAATTCGAGCATTGCTGTGCTTTAATAAACACCGACAATGAATGTAGAAGAAAAAAAAACTCTTATTGGTCATAATGTGCATACATTGTTTATACATTTGAATTCCAGTGCATATCTCTGGACAAGCAATCAAAAATCAATACTTAACAATATAAATGTGTAATCCGTGTTTAAAACTTCAAGTTTGTTTGTTTTCTAAATTAACCATTAATTTCTCATTAATTGTATTGTATTCTATTATTAAAGCAAACTGATCAAATATGTTATAGGTCATCCTTTTGTTATCTGTCCTATGATTTGATTGCTATTCTTTCAAAGGCCCCAAAACTATACAGATTGCATGGTCCACCTTGCAAACGAACAAACATACTGTTATTGTTCTTAAAGGAAGTGGATGTAAGCAATTATAGACAACCGTACGACCTTGAACATTGAGAAAAACACATACCGTATAGTCGGCTATAAAAGGCCCCGACATGAAGAATATGAAACCTTATTTATAA